AACTTTCTTCTATGTTATGTCCTTGACAGTTTTTAGTTTTATGATTTGCAGTCAAGTCTATGAGTCATTCTTGATTAATTTTTAGAGGCAATTTGAGGGTTCATCTTATTTGTCTATGGCTTTCCAGTTGTTCCAGTATGAAATAGCAGAAAGACAAGTTGTATACATGGGGGTCAGCTTCTGCTCTGCTCCATTGATTTATGTGTCTGTCTTTCCAATAATGCCATACTGTTTTGGTAACCATAGTTATACAATATGTCTTCACATCAAACAGAGAGATTCCTCCCACTTCTTTTTTTCCCAGAATTGTGGGTATTTTAGTTCTGTTCCATGTACATTTAAAAGTAACCTTGTCTCTATTTCTCTGGCCAGGCATGCTTGTAATCCCAGCAATCAGGAGGCTGAGTCCGAAGTTCAAGGCTAGTCTAGGCTACATAGAGAGACCCTGTCTGAATAAAATAAAATAAATAAAATCGTTCTGGAGATTTTCATCTTACTAAAAACAAACCTGTCTATCAATTTAGGGAGATTAATGTCTTCATTATGTTTTTTCCTCCAATCCTTGAATATAGTATGTTTCTTAGTTTTTTTTTTTTAGTTCATCTTTGGTTCCTTTCATCACTATTTTGTCATTTTAGCATACAGATCCTGCATATGTTTGTTAGGTTATATCCAGTCATCTTTCTGAATTCACTTATTGGTTCTAGCAGTTATTTTTGATCTGTTTTTATAGCTTTTGGGATTTTCTACATAGATGAATTTTCCTGCATTATCTGCATAGTTAGTAAGCAGATAGAGATAATTTTATGTTTTCCTTTCCAACCATTGTGCCATTGGCTTTCTTGCCTTGTTGCTCTGGAAGAATTTCAGTACTATGTTTAATAAAAGTAGTGCGAGTGGACATCATTTTAGTTTTGTTCCTAATATTGAGAGGAAAATATTTAGTCTTTATCACTGGATAACATACTAGGTTATAAGGTTTTCGTAGACTTGGCATCAGGTTAAGAAAATTTCTATTTCATGTTTAATTTTTTAAATTATTTTTATTTATTTGGGGGCAGGGTACATGTACCATGACCCATGTTGGGAGGGCCAGATAACAATTAGTGGGAGTCAGTTCTTTTCTTCCACCATATGTGACCTAGGGATTGAACTCAGGTTGTCAGGTTTGGTGGCAAGTGCCTTTACCTGCTGAGCCATCCTGCTGGCCCTCATGTTTGTTTTCTAAGAGGTTTTGTCTTGGACAGGCATATTGCATTTTGTCAAATGCATTTTCTGTAAAAATTGAAAGGATCATATGATTTTTCTTGTTTTTCCCTTTACTTTGGTGAATTATATTGACCAACTCTCAAATGCTGAATCAATCTGACCTTTCTGAAAACAACCTCACTTGGTTATGGTGTACTATTTAATGTACTGATAAACTCTGTGAGCAAAATACTTTGTTAGGAATTTTGATGTGTTTACAAGAGGTATGGTGTCTAGTTCTCCTTTTTGCACTGCATCTGTCTGGTTTTGGTGAAGTTCATATGGCCTCAGAGCATGAATTGGGATATGTTCCTCACCCTTACGTTATCTGCAAGAGAGTCTGTAGACCTGGTGTTCATTATTTTCTTTAACCCTTTGGTAGCATTCTCCTGAGCAACCATTCTGGCCTAGGGAATTCTTCTGTAGGAATGTTTTATCTATGTTGTTATGAGGCTATTCAGATTATATATTTCATGTTGGGTAAATTGTGGTAGTTTGTTAAATTGGTCAGTTTCATATAAGTTGTTGGGCTCTGTTGTTCATAGCACTCCATGGTTGTCCTTTAAATGCCTGTGGCCTCTACAGTGAGATATGCTGGTTTATTTCTGATTTTTTTTAGTGTTTCATTCCTGATAATGTGTATCATACCTTTTTTTAAATCAGACTAGCTAGTGGTTTGTTAGGTTTCTTTTTTTATATAACCATTTTTTGTTTGTTTTTAAACTACCTGTTTATACTACTGATTTTTCTTCACTGTTTATCTGAATTCCATTTTAGGATTTTTGCTCCTGTCTTTTATTCCTGTCCTTCTTCTTTCTGTGCAGCTCTACCTAGATAGCACAAGGAAGCAAAGTATACTATTTTTAAAAAACACATACGGTGTCACCTTGTTGTAGTTTGTCAGATGTGTGTAAGTAGCAATTGTGTAAGTGTAGAAACTGACATTTACAGAAATTACATTGAAAGAAGTTCCCTCCAAAATAAGGTAATGAGACTGGTTTTTCAGGCTTGTGGCTTATGATGTCACTTAGTAGCAACAAGTCATTTCTGTAACCCAGGTTCTTATTTTAAATTCACTCAGAAATCCCCTGATATGGTATGGTAGGGTGTTTTTTGTCTTTTGAGATGGGGTCTCCTTGTAGCCCCAGCTGGCCTGGGACTCTCGATGTAGACTGTGCTGACCTTGGTCTCACAGAGATCCCCTGCCTCCCAAGTGCTGGGATTAAAGGTGTATGCCCCCAGCTCAGTATGGTGTTTTTGACCCCTATGTCCTCAGTAGGATCAGAACCTGCTTGTTCCTTATTTCTTCAGTTGCTGATGAGTGGTTAAGCAGCTACTCAGAAATAGGACCAAGGTAGGTCTCAGAGCTCTACATAAATAACTAGAAGTTACTGGTGATAACTTAACCATAGCTAACTTCAATCTGTGTATGAAGAAAAAATGAATATGACTATAAATCCAAAGCCAAGTTACTGCTGCCATAAGTCCAATTTATATTTTTAATTGGTGTTTTATGATTAATACTTTAAAAAAATGGGAAATATTCAACTTTTAGTTATTACATAAATTGTATATTTTTCTTAGTCTCTTGAGTAAGTGTTGTTATTCACGGAGGACATAATTTTGGTAAATTAGAAGGGTTATGTAATTATTTCAACAGATGATCCTTGTATGTGTCATGAACACATTGTGGTGGCATGGTGACTGTTATACTCTTGGGAGTCTCCACTTCAAGGTACACACATAAATTGGTAGTGAAAATTGGGTGGGGAGGCAGTAAAAGGACACATCCAGCTAGCCAAAGGAACAGGTAACCTTCATACCCCATAGGGTAGTAATGTGATCATTCAAGGGCTGGTAAGAACACTCTGATATTAATCTTATTAAACTGATAATTTATAACATTCTCCATAAGATAATGTAAGGAATAAAGGTGGGGAAAAGCCCTGAGTTCCTTATGTAATATACAAACTAGCTATTTTTAAAGATGCAGTCTTGTACTCACAAGTAGTATCTTGTAAGGGGAAGAGCTAGAATCCTGGAGTCTACAAGACTGATGGAATTGTGCCTCTACCACTTCTTCCTTTGTGGCAAGTCATTTTACTTCTAACTCTCAGTTTTCTCACCAACTAAATAGTGACAATGATGGTGTGATGATAAACTGTGATTATAAATAAATGTGAAGAAGAATTCTTTCACTACGGGCTGTGGAGTATTGCTTAGTGGCAGAATGCTAGCCTAGGATGTTCAGGACCCTGGGTGCCATCAGCACTGAAAACACCCTAAAACATTCTCTCATTAAATATGCCACCTGACACATGGTAATCACTTAATATATTTTAGCTGTCATTAGTATATGTTATTACTATTATTGGTACAATCACCCAAGCAACAACAAATCTTCCATTAAGGAAATCCTGGTATGGTTTTTCTGGTATTTGTTTTGGTTTTCAAAATGCTACAGTAATTTAGAGAGTATGGGTTAAGCCACAGTCTGACCATGTAACCAAATGAAAGTATTACCTTATGAGGCATCATGATCTCACTGGCCTTTTTCAAGGGATAAAATGGAATGAGAATTTGGGAATTGTCCAGCATGGTATTTCTCAACCATTTTCTAATTAACTGCAGTGAAAATTTAATGCCACAGATCTTCTATGTCTATTTATATATGATCATGCTTTGGATGGCTTTAAACCATTATATTATCTAACATAGGTTTGGGGGATTATTTTTTGTTTTCACACCCATAAGAATGAAATCCTACCCATTGAGAATAGATTATCAAGTGTAGTGTTCACAGTTAAGTACAATTTTGCTACTGGATGACATCTGTGACCATCTAGAGATCTTTTTTGGTTGCTATAACCTGGAACAGGTGGGGTTTCTGCTGTTGGTATCTTGCAAGTAGAAGCCAGGAATGTTCCTAAACATCTACAGTACACAGGACAATGACTCCTCACTGAAAAGAATTATCTGGCCTCAAATATCCATACTACTGTGTTTGCAAAACCCTACTTTAACATGTCGGTAAAGCTCAGTGTAGTCTGAAGAACCCAGAAATAATTAAGGAAGGTGAACAGCTATGTCAAGCCAGAGGCCACAAAGGAAAGAGAATAGCCAAAGTTGGGTTCCTGAGCTTCAGGTTGAAGCTGTGTACAATGGTCTGCTTTTCTAGAAAAAAAAATGCCCATCTTTGTCTTCTAAGTATTGTTGCTGATTTTCAGTAATATGGTGGTTTTTGTTCTATCAAATATATGTAAAAATATATATGTACTTTGAATATGTGTTCATTGTTTAGTAATTAACTTCCTGTTTTCTTTTTGCATAGACATTTCTCGCTTTATAAAATAGATGGATTCCTGAAATTTTATATAGATTCATTTATATATATAGTATATTCATTCCTCTGACTTCATTATATTATATTCTGAGAGGCTTAATGTCATTTATAATTGGTCCTCATTTGATAGGTTCATAACATTGATGCTTTAAATTTAGCAGCCTCTTTGCATGTTGGGTTTTAGAAAATGGAAACAACAAGATTGTTATGCAGCTCCATGGTCAGCACTTGCCAAGTGTTCTTAGGCTCTCAGTACCATCATCAGCACTGACCAAAAAAAGGCGGGGCATGAATCTCTGTTGAAAGCAAGATAGCCTAGTCTTCATGGGCATGGTCCACGTCAGGTGCCAGAACTCCCAGCACCCCCGTTGCCCTTATCACACTGATGTTCCCTTCTTCTGCTGCCCAGAGTTGGTGTGGAGGAGCGCTCTGAAGAGGACCAGAATGAACACTGCTGGCAGTACTTCAGGTGACACAGAAAATCCTCAGAAAATCATTAACTGGCCTTGCTTTTCTCTTCTTTCTAACCTGAGAGGTTTCTTTTCATGCTTTTTGCTTCTTCCAGTGCACAAAACTTCACTCCTGTTAGCCTAGGGACAACAGTGTAAATCAGTTTTAGTCATTCTTTCTGTCCTCTCTGTGTTGATTGGTATGTCAGTGTTCTTGGGATTCTGTCCTTTCCAGCCACGTTTTGGACCTTGTGTTTCCAACCTGAATTGGTATCTTATTTTGGTACAACTGAGCTTAGTATTGAAAACAGCTTGTTCTCAGCGCCACTGATACTTTTTTTCAGAAAACCTTGCTTCTGATCTACTAAGTAAGACTTGTAACTAACACAGAGAACTAGAATTTCATATATCAGCCATGAGTGGAGCATAGCTCACCCCATCTAAATGAAATACTAGTGTTTTGTGGGTTTTTTTTTAGTTTTCTCATACCACTTATTGAAAGGACTATTCCCCAAGTATGTTTTTAGCACCTTTGTTGAAGATCAGTTGGCCACAGAGCCATAAAGACAACAGAAATTTACAGAAAAATAGATGGAAATATGTTGAGGAAATTATTCAGAAAGACATAAAGACATACATTGCTTATTTTCCCTCATGTCTGGATCCTACATTTTAATTAATTATTTTTCTGGTGAGAAGAGGGAGCTTATTCCTTTTTAAATTTTTTTGCAGGTTACTTAAAAATATATACAATGAAGTTTGGGGGGAATAGGAATAAGAAATCAGAGATCAAAGGATTTGCCAACATGGGGTCAACTTTGGTGGAATAATGAAGGTTTCCATTAGCTCTGTTTTTTTTTTGATTGTTGTTTGTTTTGTTTTTGTTTTATTTTTTTAAATCCTAGCTAGTTTATTGGACTTGCTAACACAGCATAGGGTGAGGGTTTATTTACAGAAGAGTGGTCGCCCCCACCCCCATTTACAGCTGTGCTGGTAAGTCCACACTCAAATATAGATCCTGTGACTTCCAGACAGCCACACAAAATGGCTAGAGAGGTTCCTCATGGTATTCTCTGTTTATATATCCTTAGCCCCCCACATGCAGCTAAGGTCCACTGATTGGGTGGGAGGGGTAACTGACTCCCGTTTCAACTCCTTGATGAGTGTGGGAAGGAGATGTGACTGTAGCTTGCTGGCATAGTAGTCGGAGGATGCATCCAGGTAACACTCCACCCATTCATCTGGCTCTTACATTCTTTCCACCAACCTCTTCCTCAAAAGTCCCTGGGAGTTGGAGGGGGTGACAGGTGTGGGATGATCTTCCTCCCATTGTGGCAAGGTACTGAACTTTTGGGTCTCTGCATCGTCTGTTTTCTATGGGCTGTTGGCTCATATAGTGGGATTTCATCTATTATAAGAATTTGGTGCTATGATTTTGTGGAGTTTTTTAAAACTATGTATTTGTATACCTATACATTCCCATGATGATTCGGATGATATGAAGAACATTTTTATAAACAAAAGGATGATAATCTCTCTAACATAGTATGTTTCTTGGTATACTACCAAAAGTTTATGATGTCATTGTGCTGAAGGGTGATGATGTACGAACACAGTAAAATCTTCAGTGTTTGTTCTTTCCTTTCTGGATCTCTAATTGATATGCTCTCTTCCTGATCTGATCTGCTGGTAGATCCATCCAATGAAAAGTAGGCTTGAACTCTGATCTTGGCATTGTGAAAATATTCTGCTTCCTGAGGGCAGGTTGAAAGCAGTACCTGTAATGGGGTGTAAGTCTTGGGGCATATAGCCCAGATGTACACTGTAGTGACATGCATGAAATTAAGTGAAATATTTCACTATCTCGCTAGGTTCATGCTTCTTGTTACTGTTCGAAAATGTGTATGTGCACACACACACACACACACACACACACACACACATGCACACAGAGTTATTTTTGAAGACCTTTAGGTACCAGTAAAGTAGCAAAGGAAACCCTTTCCACTGAAGTGTCCCACTTTCAAGGTCTTTCAGGCCAATGTTATCATATTTGGGACACAAGAGAATTCAAAATGTAATCTCATGCTCAAGGTTTTATATGAAGTTATATGCCTCATATTCCTCAAATTATTCAGAACTTTGACTATTCATATATTTTTTAAAGTTGTTGCTGTCTGGAGGTCTTTACTTCAGTGGTAAAGCCCATGCTCAATGGGTTTAATTCCCAGCACCACCAATTTTTTTTTATTAAATTAGGAAACTGGTAATTTTTGTGAGATTTCATGGTATTTTATCCATTAACTAGAGAAGGCAAATTATTTTTCCAAATGGACGTTATTAACTTTTTTGTGTTTACCCATTCCAGAATGAACTTATCTGTTTGGCTTTTTCATTTTCTCATTTGATATGCAATTTTGACATTTATCTCATTCTTAATGAAGAAAAAAGGATAATTAAGTTCATTCTGGGGGTTGAGGGGGAGACAGTTGTGTATGCTCTGGTGAGCTCAGCCTGGGTGTATCATGAAAATGCTAAAATGCCACATAATAAAGTGCTACAAAAGCCCCATATTTGTGTAGCACCCAGATCCAAAGCATTGTAGGCAGGCGGTCAGGGTCTAAACCTGCAATTAAAAGCCTGTATCTGGTCTTTCTTCACCTAGCACCACTCCAAATGCCCTGGCCCATTGCTTTACTCCTGTTCACAAAGACCAGTTTGGTTCTGGGCTCTGCCCCAAGGGTGGAGCCCTTTGTAACCCAGAGTACTGTGTCATCCTTGGGGATTGGCCCAAGCATGCCAGAAAAGTAATTAAATTATTAAATCACTCTAAAGTAAACAACCTTAAATGGAGAGAGAAATTACAGAATAACCTTTGAGCTCATGGCCCGTTTTCTTTGGGGGCATTTATGAAGCTGTGGCAAGCTGGGGAGGAGGTGTTTGTTTCCTTTCTTGAATTCTGCTCCTACTAAGCACTCATACCACTAGTCATACCTCCATGAGATCCTAGGGGCCTTCTCACACTCCTTTGACTGTGGGAGGACCCAGACATTCCCTTCATGCTCTGTGAAGTCAGGCTCTATACATCTCAGACACATGGTTGATAGCAAATTGTTACAAAGAAATTTGGAACTTTCACACAGAAGGATAATCAAAGTAAGGAAAGTAGATGTTGATTAAGACTGTCCCCAGAATTCCAAGTGTCTAGGGAATTACAAAACCAGATCTGAACATGAATACATTACTTAGAATTTAATTAATTATGTCTAAATTAATTGCACATTTTCTTCTTGCCCATTACTTTTAGGAAAAAGAAAATCTCAACAAAACATTTCTGAAATTATCAAGAAGAAAAACCTCATATAATTCTTAGAGTCTATATTTGCCACTGCCTATGCAGTGATGAGAGCACTCTATATTATGAATCTTTACAATTTGTGCTTTTTCAGACTCTGAAATTAAACAAGCTCATGAATCATCAATATTAATAAATTAAATTAGAGAGACAGGAAAATAGACTGATGTGTTTTTGAAACATTTTTTATCAAGAATATAATTAAGTATTCTTAATTGTAACATTTTAAAGCCTCCCCAAAGAGGAAAGAATGGACTGATGAATAGCCAAATACTAACCTGCACTCACCACTGAATAACGTATTTTGGTTTTTTTTTCTTCTCCTTTCCTTACTCTCAACTGTTTCAGAACACTTCAGAGCCATATGTCCTAACTCTACTCCTAAACACTTCAGGAATCCAATCTCCTGTGTGATCACACCTGGGAAAAGCAACATGAATTTTACATACACAGAGGGTTCAGTAAAAGTCAATGCTGATTGTTATGTCTGTTTTGTCTCTTTTCCTCTTACCTTTCAGGGTCTCTTATGACACTGATTTTTAAGTATTCAGGATAGTTGTTTAACAGAAAGCCCCACAATTGGGATTTTTCTGGTTTCATCATGACCAGAGGTAGTCTTTTTTATTTTCAAAATACTGTAAAAGCATCCTTACACATTTCTTGTTGTATCCTGTGAGGTAGATATTGTCCAGCTGCCCCTTTATCAGTGAAGTTCCATTTGATCACTTGGCTAGCATAATACAGTGACCACAGATCCCTGTCCTTTCATGGGACCACTTTTCTGTATGCAGTTAAAAAGTTATCTCTAGAGTGGTCTTTTGACACCATGTGAATGACCAGATTCCCAACAATAAACAACAGGTAAAATCATTCACTAATGATCCTTGCCTGAAAAAGGGATTACATTGGGGACAGAACATGAAGATTTTCTAATTCTTCCATTTCTTTCATATTTACAAGATAATGCTCACCACAAAAAAACTTTGGAGGAATTTAAATTTTATTTTAAATAACTGGGCATAGTGGTGCATGCTTTTAATCTCAGCACTCAAGAGGCAGGGGCAGGTGATCTCTGTAGGTGTGAGGTCAGCCTGGTCTGCATAGGGAGTTCTAAGCCAGCTTGGGGCCACATAGCCCTCTCTGAAGAAAAATTAATTTTATATACTGATAAAGTAAAGACTCTCTTCTTTGTCTAAGTATTGAGTTCAAGACAGTTTCACTTAATGTGTATAGGACTTAGAGTCGTATCTCTGTAGAACTGTAACAGCAATTTGGGTGTTATTACTCAGAAAACAAAAAAGTTAACAAATAATTGTTGCTTTTATAGTAGAGAAAATAGTAATGATAATATAGAGACATAGCTGAAATTAATTTTTTCTAGAATTTATATTTTCATTATGTACATGTGACTATTTAAATTTTAATTAATTAAAACTGAATTGTAAAATGCAGTTTGTCACAATTCGTCTCTCATGCTAGCTATATTCCGCATGCTCAGTGACCACATGTGGCTAGTGGTTACTTATTAGACAGCACAGTCTATAGAGAACACTGTCATCCTTGCAGAAAGTTCTATCACACAGCACAGATCTAGAATGACTCTCAGTTTTCCCCAGAACAAAATGGTGACCCTCATGGGCTTGGGGTTAGATTAGAGTGTTCCTAATTTCATGAGTTCACCATGAAACATTTTGATTGCAATGTTTTAGGCTCTGTTTGGGTTTCTGGCCTGGTCACATATGCCAAACACATTGCAATTTCTGTGCTTTGAATGACAATAGTTCAATCTTAGTCTTTATAAGTAGTTTTTTTTTTTTTTTTTTTTAGAAAGGGGCCCCCCTTAGCCCCAGCTTCCCTGGAACTCACTATGTAGACCAGGCTGGCCTTGAACTCACGGAGATCTGCCTGCCTCTGCCTCCTGAGTGCAGGCACTACAGGCATGCTCCACCACGCCCGGCTTATAAGTAGTTATTTTTAAACAGAATCTCTTTACATTTTTGCCAGAACTCAGGAGGCAGAGGCAGGAGGATTGCCAAAAATTCAAGGTATGTTATGCACAGAAAGTTCCAGGCCAATCCAGGTTACATATAATACTCTGTGTTCAAAAATATAAACAATTTTGTTAAACATATCTCCTTCTTATAGCAAAGATTCAAGGAATAGAGGAGGCCGAATTTCGTTTGGTAGCTCTTAATGTATTTATTTTCTTTGTGATAGTCCAGGGCACACTGAAGTATTTCTCTCCTATAGGCCTCCTAGTTCATGTAGATTGGTAAAGTCAATCTGTCTTATTGATACTGATGCAAAAGCCACTTACAGTAACAAATATACCTCTTTCACGATCTACAGTGCAGAAAGAAGAGATTCTTAGTGACAGGTCTGGTGTGCCAAGAATGGCCATTGCATCTCCATGGTTTGGCTGAAGACAGCTATGCCACCTATCCTTCTCAGAGATGCTGCCCCCCTGAGTTTGCATCCAGAAACTTACCTTTAGTAAATTTGTCCAGCACGGTAACTTATGCCTCTTCAGAGTCCTCAAAAGACCTGATAGTGAACCCCTGTCCATTGACCTTATAGATACCAACAGAACTTCCATAATAAAGGATGTTTCTATATGGGATGTACATTAAGAGACTAAAAACAGGTGAGGATTGATGATCTGCACTTAGGAGTTCCAAATGCAATCTCTCCTCCAGCCAATTTCATACATTAGATATTTGTGGGCCTAGGGCTCTTAGGTGATTTTGAGAGATAGTCCTTGTGCTGGATAGCTTTGGTGTCAACTTGACACACCTGGGTTGAGGGAGCCTCAATTGGGGAATTTCCTCCATAGGACTGGCCTGTGGCCATGACTGTGGAGCATCTTCTTGATTATTGGAGTGATATGGGAGGGCCCAGCCCACTGTGGGTGGTGCCACCCCGGGCAGGTAGTCCTGTGTTGCATAAGAAAGCAAGCTGAGCAGGGGCCAGGGGAGCAAGCCAGTAAACAGCATTTGTCCATGGCCTGTGCTTCAGCTCCTGCCTCCAGGTTCTTGCCCTGAGTTCCTACCTTGGGCTCTCTGATGAACTGTGACCTGGGAGATGCAAGCCAAATAAACCCTTTCCTCCCCAAGTTGATAGTGGTCAGAGTGTTTTGTCACAGCAATGGAGAAACAAACTAGGACAGTCCTTGATCCCTTGAACCGGATGGTTTTCATATCAAAAGAGATCGCTGTGAGATTTAGTGTTCAAATGTCCTGGATAATGTGCAGTTGCAAGGTCCCAGATGTCAGAATCTGCTGTCTGGAATTAGCCTCTAGTATGGAGCAAAGTCCATCTAATTCAATGCAAACAGCCCATCCAGACCCAGGCGCACAGTAAAGAATCTGGCTCCAGATTCAGTATAGAATTTTACAAAGTGTCCAGGACACTGCCTGACCTATAGTGAACTCAATAAATAATATGTACTATATACATGAATTCATTTTGTTTTTAAAACTTTGCCTCAAGCACAAAATAGGGTAGCTGCTCCCTTTCCTTCTGTGTACCTTCCAAGGAACACACACCTTGGGCAACAAGCTTGGGACAGGACAGAATAGAGGTTGGCTTTTCAAGGCTGGGTACATCTATGTCTTCTACCCCTCACTTCCATGTACTCAATTTTCTCTGGAAAGATCCCAGGTGATTCATGTGATGGAGAGGAGGAAGAGGAAGGAAAATAAGTGTGTGCACTTGGGGCTCTGTGCTCATAATATCTGCTTGTTGGACTAGGACATCCTGAACAAGACAGGAAAAACAGCCTTCTTCAATCTCATGTCTGACCTAATCTGCTGAAAGCTTGATGCCCCATTACATTTATGATTGTATCCATTCATTGAGACATTGGAGGTAGTGAAAGGAGTATGGGATTTTCCCGGTGTCCATTTTCTCCCTCATAGCTCCATGTTATCTACGTCATTCATATCAGAATTATCTGCCTCAGAATGGGGAAGATTCAGGAGTTAAAAATGAGTGAATGAATACAGCAATAAATAGCATACGAGAAAGCCAAGACTGTTCCACTGCTCTTCAGGAATTTACTGTAAGTGAATTTTGCCATGCCCCCCTTCCCTATTGTCTTCAGTTGCATTCAAACACAGAAATTTTTAGGTAATCATTGATGAAGAAGGTGTATGAACACAAGGACTAGAAGCATACCAGTACTCCATTTAATGATACTGATAAAGACAACATGGTCACATTTGTTAAAAAGGTTATGCAGACTTTATTCACAATTGCCGTATCGTGATTGATACAGAGACTACTATGATGGGATTTTGCAGTAAGGGAGAGCGGTAGGGATTAATGGATGAAAATTATCAAGAGGAATTATCAGGGGAATCATGGCCAAACTAATGTAATAGAATTCTTGTTGAAGGCAGACCATGGTGATTAGACATCACCTGGGAGATGGCTGTCAGGTATTATCGGGGATCAGATATCAAGGGTGAGGGTTCTGGCTAAACCAATTTAGGAGATTCTCGGTAAAACTGGATGATGCAGCAGAAGCCCAAAGTTTAGGTCCTGGTTGTAAAGAAGATTCGAATGAGCCTGATTCAAGTTTAGTCAAGGAGAAATTCTGTCACTCTGCTTACTAAAAAAGTCAGGAGACACGAAGTTGAGGAGATGGCTCCATCAGTAAAGTGCTTACTGCACAAGCATGAGGACTCAATTCAGTCTTCAGAACCTATGTAAAAAAGCTTGATGTGATGTTGTGTCGACCCCCTTCTTGGCCCAAACTCTGCTGCTACCGGAAGGCCGTTGTGCACTGGCCCTTGTCATGGAAAGTTGGGGTGAGGAGAGAGACCAATGGGCGAGGGGGGGCTTTGGGTGGCAGTGAGTACAGTGGGAAGAAACACCCGGGAGACTGTGTCAGTGGACAGCTTGTTTATTATGGCAGAAGCAGAGGTTTATATAGGAAAGTTTCGCAGGCAAAGAGGTGGGGCTAGTTTTCTGGAAGGCCAGCAGATGGGGGAGGGAGGGGGCTTCTAAGGCTGTGTGGCCTTTGTCCTGTCCTCCAGTCACATGATCTACAAGAGACCCAGTTAGGATTAAAGGATTAGAGGCCTAATAGTTTTGCTTGGGGGTTGTTGGATAAGAGACAGTGTATCTAGAATGGAGTGGGCTAGTTTCCTGCCATCCTCACTAGGAGGTATCTGGCCTGGCAGCCATGCTCTACATTTCAGGCACTCCTGACTTATCCCAACAGTGTTGGATGCTTATAATTCCAGCTACTGGGGAGGCAGAGACAGGCAGATCCCTGGGGCATGCTGACCTGCCAGTCTAGTCAAATTAGTGAGCTCTAGGCCAAATGAGAGTTCCTATCTCAAAAAAAAGTTAGATGACTCTTGAGGATTGACACCCAAGGCTCTCTGGCCTCCATACATGATTTATATACATGTGCTTGTGTATATACACAGTCACACACACACACACACACACACAAGCATACACATGCATGCTTGTGCACACACAAGAAATCAGGGAAAATGTGTTGATGTTGCTGCTTTATTTTAATGCACCACAAAAAAAATAAGGGACATGGAGACATGGGTAGATGGTAATAAAGTCTTATGTTAGTGGAAGACTCTCCTGGTAATCACTAAATATTCCTTCAACACTTCCCTGTATATCTGACTAATTTCATAACAAAATGTAATGGGCATCAGAGCAGGTTGGGGCAGAAGTGAGGAAGCAGCCAAGTGAAAGGGACCCGTGTTTTGGTAGTAGGGACTACCTGGTACAGCAAGGCAGATGGAAAGAAAACAGCATATGCTGTTCCAGAGGCTGTGCTAAGGGCATGAGCAACTATCACCCCTGACCCTTTGGGATCTGCTCTGGTGTGGACCTGACTTCTGCATGATAGCCTTCCTTTTCTTGTAGCTAACCACTCCTGCTTTGAACAGATGTTCCTGGCTAAACCAGCAAGGTTACCACGGGCTGTGGAACTAATGCTTTCTGTTTTTTTTTTTTCTTGTCTTCTTCCCTGGTGACTTTTAGAGTTGGTGTTGACCCAGATCAAGACCCGCCACCTAACAATGACAGCTTTCAAGTCTTACAAGGGGTAAGTCATGAGCTGCTGCTTCTTAGGGAAGATAGGATGTAAAAATTACTAAAACTGAGTGATCATTGCTCCATGCTAGGCACTGGATCTGGCTTCCCCCATTACAGTCTTGACAGCAACCTTTTAGGTAGCTGCTGTTGTCTCCATTGTATAGGATGGAAGCTGAAAAGCAAGTTTTAAGTGAGTCACCTAAGGCCAGAGAGTGAAAAGTGGTACATTTTGTAAGTAAAACAAGCTAGGAGCAGCTGGATACCAGGGTAGATTCCAGCTAGACAATTCCATACCAGTCAAAATATCTCCAGTCCTGCTGTTTTATATCACCTCTCCCTCTGCTCTCAAACACCTACAAAAGGAATTAAGTGAGGTGACTTGGTTGGCTTCATGCAGTGTTATTATATATCTCTTAAGACCTGCAGACTGAAATATTACCAGCAGCAAGAGATACAAGGCAGCTTTGTTGGCTGTGTGGTCTGAGGAGTCCCCATCAAGTCTTGGTAACCTCTACTTGAGTACAACCAAGTGCTCAACATCTGCCACAGAAAAGAGCTTCAGGATGAGTTAAAGTGAAGCAAAGTTAGCAAGTTTGTTGATTAAGCATTCTGTTTGTTGATTAAGCGTTAGACAGAATGCATTAGGAAAGAGTCAAGTGTGGATGTTAGGAGACACACCTCAGGGCCTCAGCATTAGCTATAAT